TCAAATATAATACAAACATGGCAGCCGTCGCAGCACAAGCACCAACTGGTGAACAAGTTGACTTGTCAACTATTCCAGTCTCACCTGAAGGAGCCAGCAATTCGAATGAGAACACCAAGCCAGCCACAGAAGATGAACAAATCACTGTTTTTCATGATAAGGACAACTTCAACGTCAAGCATCCTTTGATGAACAAATGGACTTTGTGGTTCACAAAGCCACCCAGTGGAAAGGTAGCTCTTCGAACAAGAAGGTCTTTTTAGGTCGATTATGCTAACTTCAAATGTAGGGTGACAACTGGAATGATCTCTTAAAAGAAGTTATCACTTTCAACTCGGTTGAGGAATTTTGGGGTGTTTATGTAAGTATAATGTTCTGAATGCTTTGTCTTCGACTATTATCTTTTGACTTTGCTAACTTTTTTTTCGCAGAACAATATCGCACCAACCTCTGAACTCGCCCTCAAATCTGATTACCATCTGTTCAAGGAGGGCGTTCGACCAGAATGGGAGGATCAGCAAAACAAGCACGGTGGAAAATGGTCATATCAGTTCAAGGAAAAGCGCAATGTTCCTATTGATGAACTTTGGCTCCACGTCATGTTGGCAGCTATTGGAGAGACTCTCGAAGAAGAGGATGACGGAGAGGTGATGGGTGTTGTTGTCAACGTCAGAAAGGGATTCTACCGTGTTGGTGTCTGGACTCGCACAATCGGCAAGAGCATTCCTGGAGGTGGAGACGGCAATGGTGCTGGAGGAAAGGGAAGATCCGCCGAAAAGGGCAAAGAAGTTTTGATGAACATCGGCAAAAAGTTCAAGGAAGTGTTGAAGCTCCCAGCATCTGAGGCAGTTGAGTTCTCTGGCCATACCGATAGTGCACACAGCGGAAGTACTCGTGCGAAGGCCAAGCATTCAGTCTAGACGCTTTCGACATGTACACGAGATGAGATACGATTCTCCTTTGCCTGCGTTACGATTTCGTGATTTTCTTTTCTATAAAGGTCCACGAAGTAGGCTAGGGCTAAATGGATGGCAGTTCAACAAAGGTTTCCGGGTTTTTTATTGCAATATCTGCATGCATTATTGAAGGCAACAAATACCTAAAATCGGCTTCTTAAAACTATAGGGGAGTAGTATTTGTGCCATATTGTTTTATTGCTCTGCTATTACACTACCGCTTTTGGTGGTGGTTATTTTATGCATGGCGTTATTCTACACTGGGCAATCAATATAGGCTCAGATATCAGAGGTGTGTTCATAGAGATGCGCGAAGCATGAATTTAGCAAAATCAAGGATACATATCATTTGAAATGATGAGCGTCACAGTGAATGCCAGGCAAATATATTGAGAAAGATGTACATGGTTATAGGTGTGCTTGTTGCTGTCTTTCATCTGAAGTTTGTGCGAGGAGCAATGAGTGTATATTAGCTTAAGCGGACTTCTTCGTCTGAAACGCACTTCTACATTCTGCATGCATGGTTGTTCTTACCCCTTTCCTCTCCTCTTTTTAGGAGTATCATGTTAGCGGCATGTCGATGTATTTAGGTGATGTAATATCTATAGAGTGTATCCTGATGGAAGTTACAAACAGAGACAGTCGAGATGATATATTTATCTTCTATGTATGAGGGTTACTTCGCTACAATGTATTTCGTATCTGTCCCCAGCCCTTCTATGTTACAGTTCTACCTCTTACATTTCATCTCCACTAATATCATCTACAAAAACGCTTTTCACAAGAAGCTTCTTATTGATCTTCCCCATTGCATTCCTCGGAATACTCTCCACAACCCTCATCACCTGCGGGATCTTATATGCCGCCAAGCGTTCCTTGAGCGCTCTTCTCATATCCAATGGTCCCCATTTCTTTCCCTCTAGAAATTCTTCATTCAATACTACTACCGCTCCGACTTTCTGGCCCCAATTTCCCGATGGCACGGCACAGACTGCACATTCTGATATTTGGGGGAGTGATAGCATCTCACGTTCTACTTCAAGCGCGCTTACTTTTTCCCCTCCGGATTTAATAATGTCAGCTGATTTGCGACCGCGGATGAAATACATAGGACCTTTAGCCCATTCCTGGTCACTCTTGCCCGCGCTGTCGACATAGCGACGCACAGCCACATCGCCCGTTTTGAACCAACGACCACCCCCATCCGGATCGTCGACGTGCTCTTTAAGTGTAGCTTCTGGGTTACGCCAATATTCTTTGAAGATCGTGGGGCCGCGGAGCTGGATTTCTCCATCGCGTTCTTTGCCGTTGGAGTCGAGTTCTGAGCCGAGAGCAATCACTTCGTTGGTTTCGGTGTCGACGAGTCGGACTTGGACGGTGGGGAGCGGCCAGCCTACGCTGCCGTCCACGCGGTCCATGGGGGATAGACCACAGGAGAGGGCCATGCCGACTTCGGTCATGCCATAGCGTTCGAGAAGGATGTTGTTGGAGGAGAGGGTGGACCAAGCATTTTTGGTTGGAGTAGGAAGAGCGGCGCTGCCAGAGATATTGAGGCGGAGGTTTGAGGGAGAGATGGCTTCTTTTGCTGCAGATTGCTGTTCGGGTGAGAGATCTTTGTGGGTTTTCAAAAGACGATTATAGACTGTGGGGACGACTGTGAAGAATGTTATGGGTTCCTTGATTTTGGTATCCGGCAAGAATGGGGCAGCGAAGCGTTGCCAAACGGCCGTGGCGTTGAATGGGAAGAGAAACTCGATCGTAGAACCAGTAAACAGGGGTGCAAGAATGGCATTTACAGTGCCGTGAATATGATGAAGAGGGAGCACATGAAGGAGATGATCTCGAGGACTGTAATTCCAAGCTTCGATCAGAGATTTTGATTGTGCTGTCAGGACTGATTGAGGAAGCAAAACTCCTTTCTGGCATCTGTAAGTCAATGTTCATATTCTACAATAATGGGAAAGCTCACAGGTCTGTTGGTTGTGCCTGATGTATACAACATCATGCCCCCTTTACCCTCTGATGGCCCTTCCAACGTGACTTTGCCATAGTCTGAGTTCTCAAGCTTTTTCTCAAGTTTAACATGTTTTGGTTTGGATTCCAGATCAGTATCCATCACTTCTTGAGCCTTGCTCTCGAATTTGGTGGAAGACAATAACATTGAAGCCTCGCTTTGGTCCAAGATGTATTGTAATTCATGGGCAGGAAATGCCGGGGACAATGGAACAGCTATAGAGTGTGAACCAAAGATGGAGAGTAAAGTCACTATATGTGTATTATCTTAATCTATGTTCTTTTTGCGTATGGATGTTTTGGGTTGCGCACCCACATAATCATAGCTATTTTCTACAAGGAAAGCAACTCTTTCTCCCTCCAATCCCTTTTTCCCAGCCTCGTTAGCGAGTGTGTCTCTGCTTTCTGCTACATCATGTAATAATTGACCATATGTAAAGCGTCTTCCAGAGGCTGAATGTATTACTGATGTAGATTTAGGGTCATGGCTTGAGATAGCTTCGAAGAGGGGTAATCTTGGGAGCGTGGACGCCATTCTTGCACTGAGTAGAGTCGCGGGAGTTTTTGAGAATGAACGGAAGAATGTTGAAGGGTTTCGTTGTAGAAGTAACGGTGATCTTCTACTGCAGAACATTGAGGCGACAGGAAGGTGGAGAGGCATTGATACGGGCGGTTCATTGGATGGCAGATAAACGCGAATTGCAAGGAGGCCTGTCGAGAGATGCTGCTAATCGTCCGAGGTCCGAAGTGGAGTTGATGCTGCTTTGGAACGTATTGGTAAGTAGTAGTAGTATATCGGTCGAGATCAATTTGCTTTTAGGTAATCCTTATTGCATCTAATACAAGTGCACTTTTTCCAGAGCCAACCAAAATCCTCTGGGAAGTCTATAGACGGTCTAGAGATCTAAACATTCTCGACCGAAGATGGACTTCGAGATTCTAGAATTGTGATTCGGGAAGGGCTACGGATGATGACGCGGGCCGGTTCCTGATATAAGTCTAGCCTCAAAACCACAAGGCTCTTTCCTAATCCTTGCTACAGTTGGCGAGGCTGTCATGCAATACACAATTATATCGTACAATCAATTAGATATTGGAACAGTTTGCGCTCCAATCAAACATTCGTCATTACCATCTTCTCAGTCTATTGTGAAGCAATAGATTAATGCTTCGCATCATTCGTCCCGCTGTCTCACGGCGCTATCTATCAACAATCATGACATCCAATACTCCATACGAAGATATCATACGCACTCGAGTAAGTATACCTCTCCCCTCATTTCTGGTTTATGTATTGTTTCCACTAACATATCCTTCCAGCTGACAGAAGAGTTAAAACCTACCCGTCTTGAAATATTCAACGATTCATCCAAACACTCACATCACCAAGCTATGGCTGGTTCAACGTCTCATGAGACCCATTTTCGAGTCGAGATCGTCTCGGAAGCTTTTACCAAAAAGATGCAACCTGCAAGACATAGAATGGTGTATGCCTTGCTGAAAGAGGAGATGGCGAAAGAAGGTGGCATTCACGCTTTACAGCTGAAGACAAGGACACCTGAGGAAGAGGAAAGGCAGAAGGCAAAGGAGGAAGAAGAGGACAAAGGAGCGGTCGTTGCTGAGGCAAGTGGACCTTAGTAGAGGATTTTGATGTTGTATCTAGCGATCGAGATATTTCATTCGAGAATCATTACAAAACAGCAGATTGCGCGGTCCAGGGAAACAACTGTGAAGCCGTGTGTTTATGCTATTGCTTGGTTGTGAAGTTAAGGGCAGATTTGAACCTACAGAGCGAACACATTGAGCGAAAGATTGCAGCGTCTCATTTCATGAAAAATCTAAGCATACATATCACTTATACCATATTAATCGACTTCTCGACGCCTAAATTCTCGCTTTGGTCAAAGTTATTTGCGCTCAAAAACGAGTTTAGAGGCTTCAAGATAAATAGTATAAGACGAACGCTGTCTATATTTGTTTAATCGCTGCTCGACTGTGAACCAAGACCAAAGGGACAGATGCTTGATTGAATCAGACAGGCAGGTCGACTGTCAAAACACCCAGCTGTTCCGCTAATTCGAGCAGTGGATTTACCACAGCTTCGACATCTCCAGTTTTGATCGGAATTCTATGATTGCCATCCCATTCAATCACTTGCGCACTTCCTTTCTCGCACCAAATTTTGAGCAATTCTTGATGTAACTCCAATCCCGGGTCTTTGGATCCATGAACATGAATAGTTGGTAAAGTCAAAACGTCATTCTCATCCACTGGTCCCCATCTATCCTGATCTCTCTCCATACTAATCAATGGCGGTCTGCCCGCCATCAAAACCGCAAATCTCCAATCATGACCCTCCAAGTCCCTTCCCCCTTCTTCTCTGATCTGCCTCCTCAACAACAAGCTCCCAGCTATCTTCGCCCCCTGACTGAATCCCAACAATCCTACCCATTCCCCGGTAGCTCCTTTAGCATCATCCTCTCTCATCGCTTTCTCAATACTCTCTTCGATAGCAATCACCTCATCACGTGTATTTATCACTTCATGTTCTGGTAACCAGCCCAGCCAGCGTTTAAAAGGTCCACAGTCTCCATAGACGCTTGTAACATCGGGCCCGGCACCAGATTCAAACGGTGCTTCGGCAAATATGAGACGGAAATAAGGTTTCAAATGCAAGGAGAGGACGCGACATTGCATGGTAAAGATTCGAGCGTTTGTTCCCCCGCCGTGGAGACAGAGAAGCCGGGGCAGATCAAGTGTGGGGTCGTGGTGTGTAGACATTATTGCTTGTGAACAGCGAAGACTGTGGTTTGGGAGATCAATGAATATTGTGCAGAGTTTGGGATAAGATATGATTCTTGGATGAGAACGAGATGTAAATGTATAGGTTGTTGAGCTGATGACAGGTAAGATCAAGCTATGCTAAATTTAGAACAGGTAACTTAGCCTTTTGTGCTACGTTCCTATTGTGCTTTGACAATCAGTCGATCGTATCTTGGAAACTTATGGATAGCTGATCCTACAACTCTCATCAACGATGAATGCATGCGAACAAGTTCAATACACCCAGAAAAGTGGTTAGGATTCTATTACGGATGTCCATCTCAATAGAATTGAGGGGTTCGAAGAAGTGTTGGCGGGGAGGTGGGGTTTGATAAGGTAAGGGGGGTCCTGCCAACACCGACACAGATCACTTTGCGGAATTCCATCCCTGGAATAGTACCACACTGATTTAACCTTGGAATACCTTGAACTTTGTCTATTCAGACGTGCCAAAAGACGTATGGTATCTCGAAAGCAGAAGATGAGCTATCGATGTTCTCAACATTAATCAATATTAATTGATGAACAACAAACCTGGGCACTTTGAAGTAACATTGCGTGGAGAGATTCTGTCCCCAACAACCTCAGCAGTCTCGAGGCAGGGCGTTCAATCGTCCGAAGTGCAGTTTGATAATCAAAGCTGTCACTATTTGAGGATATTTGGAGATATTCCAATCTATGAGATGCATTCAGTCTTCTGCATTATGTGGATAATTTACTTGAAGTAGTAGCCCTGGAGAGCTTCTCATTGTCGGATCATACGCCGCGCGAGCTACTTAAAACCCAAGGACCTTCTTGTACCTACAATGTCATCCAATTGCTTTTCAGATCACAAGAATTCATATCAGTAGCGACGTGTACATCGGTCGCTATCAAGTGATGGCTTTTTATCACGCTTGCCTCCAATTGCTCTTGCTAGATTGACTTCAAACGTTTCCATCCACCCTTAGCCATAACTTTTGTATACCTTGATACGGTGGAAAGTTCCATTCTCCATTTGAGCTTAGTGACATTTAGTTGATGAATCTTGTGGTTTATTTTAATCTAAAGAACTTACTTCTTCAATCTGCATTCTTTTTGGAAATAGTTTCAAAGATATGACTTTTTCGAGATAAATGACTTCTATAGCATACCCAACTTGGCCTACTGCCTAACATCCCATCATCCGCCTGATCTTATCATCTACGTCAAGCTGATTGTAATAACTTCAGATCATTCACGTGATAAAGAAAATTGTGGAAATTGTGGCATTGTTCACAGACTGTTGCTTAGCCGAGTTTCTACAATTATTACTCGCGCTGATATCACATTCAAAACAATGACGGAACAACCCTACTACTTGTGTATATATTCTCCAGGCTCACGTTATAATATTCAACTCTAAGTCACAGTAACATCAATACCTAAAAAGTACACTCTACCAAAAGCTATATTCATAGTATCTACCAGCAAACCCTCTCAGCCCATTTTAAACTTAACCATGTGCAAGAACGCCAAGTTTATTATGTATGCGGAGACTGCACTCTCAGTATCGAGGGTTGCACTTACCAGGAACTAACGAACTGCCGTCCAACTGATTGCCCTCGCTATCAAGTGGTAGTGGTGAATGAAACGAGAGTTTGCATTGTTTGTTGGAAAGAGAGAAACACCGAGGCTTCAGTCGAGCCCGCGACCTGAGGGCCCAAGCGATTGCGTCAAGTGGAGGTTGGAGAGTACTGTATAATTTCATTTGTAGATCAGATGAATTTTGAAGTTACTGAGTGAGATATAGTAGGTCTGGTACTTACTTTACTTGCTTCTTTGACTGCAATACAATATCCTTAAAAAAAAAATAAGTTCCAATTCTGTATGAATATCATGTGAAATAAATTGAATGTGAAGTTGATAGTCCCGTCAAAAGTTATAAACCCATAATCCAAGCTTGTCCCCTTTCTTTTGCATCTATGCAAAATGTGCTAATCTTTCGAGTTCAGATCAAATGCAAAACCTCACAACACTGTCTACCGATAAGGATTGCAAGGCATAAGAAGTTGCTCACAGCTCCTCTTCCAGAATGAAATCCACAGAAAGGATTGTTAAAAAAAGAAAGTATTGTCAAAGAAAGTGTTTTCAAGCAGCATTCCATTCAAGACAAAGCAAAAGTTATCCTTGAAACCATGAACAACGAGAATCCTAAAAAGCATCAGTATCAGCTGAATACGCCTGTCATATGTGCAAAGAGTTCGCGAGGGTAACATGCCGTTCACGATTCTACCACTCTGCACTCGAGTCTACTAATTTATAGTATTACGGTGATATTGAGTTCCTCTCTGGTCGAATGGATACGTTTATTCTCGTATCTAGTTTTTTGTTGGCGTTCTTTGTCTTGAGTATTGTGTTGTGCAAATTTGATCCGGCTGTACTGTCATACCACGTTTCTTATCCGTTCAAAAATATTCTTCAACACTCTTATTCAACTAGTATTATGAACCTTATGATGTGCTGTGCTAAGTTACACAGGAAAACTCTACTTGGGTGAGGGAGTCCAGTCCAAGTAGCATCAAGCGTGATGTTCGACTATAGATACTGGTTTTGAGTACCGTCCTGCTTGCTGTACTAGTCATGGAGAAAATAATCTATATCAAGATAGAAAATGAGAATCTAAGTTGCGGCGGCAGCTGCCAATCAGAGGTAACAAGATTCTAAGTCGGCATACTGAAAATGTTATTATGAAACTCGAACTCCTATGCTTATTTTGATTGAGACGATAACTAATGAATAATTAAAGGAGCTATTAGGTTTAAATTTTTACTCATGATCTTACAAGAATGTATGAATTCTGATATTTAATATGTTTCAACATTCATGCATTATTGTCCTGGATATCTGACAGAAACATCTCTGTCACACGAAATTACCAAATCCAGTAAGTCAATCACTATGTCCCTATCCGAAGAGAGAACTTGGTTTTAATAAATTGCCGAAGCTGGTAGAGGTTGGAAATGCATCTTGCACAAGATATATATCAAATATACACGATTAGAATCTCCCTCAAAGTATCAGCACCACATTGTCACTTAACTGTAGCTTAGGGGAAAATATGTGACTTGCTCTGAACATATATCTAGGTCCATTAGATATCCCCGTTACTAATTTTCACATTCTAATTGTGAGTTTGATTGATACATGGCCTCTCATTCGTAGACACCAGAAGGATCGATTTTGAGCAAGAGCGGAATCGAAGTATAAGTGTGAGTGCCTAGAAACCCATAGATGAATAGAACTCTTTCTTAGTAACTATTAGTAATTATCAAGGTGCCTTTAATGACACTGTACTAGCATCACATGACCCAGATCGCTACTTTAGTATCAAACTTCCTAGAGTCGCACCCAATATATGTAGTCTAACATAATCTGAGATGGTGAGCGCGACACATCTGACCGCACCCATTTGACCTCCGCCCTTATTGATCAAGATTCTAGGTTAGGTAGTGGCTATTGGGCATTAATTTTGCCTCACACTCGCTCCCATTTTAATGAGAGTTGTCACTGATTCCAACTATCTTCATATTACACTACATCGTACCCCTTTCCGTCCGTATGTCTTCATCCTCGCCCCCAATAGCAAACCCACGTGGGGTGGACAAGAACACAAATGCCAACTACTCATGTTCTCGGCCTGTTCCGACTCTAGTCTGGCCCGGAATCCAAGGGACAAGATCATCGAATCGAGGCAGCACAACGAGCCGAATTCTTTAGACAGCTGGTGTTTGTGTTCCTCGTTTTCGGAAGCTTCAGCTCCTCTGTTTCCGGCCCGAGAGCATTTTACACCCGAATGTCATATTCAAAATCCTCACGACTTCGTGTTCCACGAATTCTGAGACAAAAAGCAATCAATCTAATCTAGTTTTTACTGCCTTGGGTGTGCACGTTCGACAAGTACATGAGCCTCAGTGTACCTTGCACCGCCCTGAGCGCCCTCTTCCGTTTGTAAGGTTACCTCTATTGCATATCCGCCAATATCCGAGACTAAACTAATGCCGACATGGCATTTACTATTGGATTTTGCAAATGCCGTTCAGAAAAATTGGTGTGAGATTGTACAGACATGGGGAAATATAATTCTCACGTCGTGATCCTTGATAGCGATATTACACTCAAACAAGCTTAATTTATCCTATGGGATCAATTGCCGGAGTCGTCGATGATCTTGTACTTATTTCTAGGGTTCACCGCCCTTCTTTTCGATATCGTGCTAGGGCGATGATCTTCAAGGCGGGTAGTATTCGCCCTTTTTTCAGAGCCCTAGAGCGTTTTGTGCTCGAGTCGGGTATAGAAAGGGGTATTGCGGCATGTTCTTCGTGTAATTCAAGGAGCTTTTCTGGCATTTGAAAGTACACCCGTTGAATTGATGGTCGATCACCCGTTCGGTATATCGCAACGAGAAGAGCTCTTTTGTTCTTCTCGTCCTTCATATTGGTCATATCTTTTCATATATCCTTAATTCATAGAGCTTGAAGACTTTAATTTCCATACATGGAAAGACTTGATGCGCCCCTACTATATATGCAGCATCCCAGTGGCAAATACACATCTATAGTTCTGTGTATCGTTTATATGCATTAATTGACCACGTCAAACTCGATAACCTACAACTATATAATTGCTCTTTCTTCCTTCATTACTTCGACTCTCCAGTCCTCTCGACTCATCAGCACTAGCTCTACTTGACTCAATCATAATCCGGAGCATCAACCTGACTAAAACGATCCAAAAGACATTTACTCAACAATGTGCAACTCAAGCCAGAAATCCTCTTCTTCCTCAAGATCCTCCAAAGAATATCTCTCCACACCATCAGCATCCTCAAAATCAAACTCGACCTCATCCTCTGCCTCTCAAAGGGCCCAACAGGGCTCAAGTGCCTCACACTCTTCATCTTCATCCGCAATCTCATCCTCATCGCAGTCATCCCAAACGGATTCAGCTGAACACAAGCATCAAGGTGAAGCAATCAAGCGATATGAGAACGAACCTAGAGATTACAAGTCTTGGGTTGTGGAGGAATACGATGTACATCAGCAACAAGCGAGCGAAGTGCATTGGAATGAAGTGGAGAGAGATCTCCAAGGTGTGGAGTGGACGCATTAAGGTTGTCTAGATGCGAAGCAAACTGATAGAGTTATGGTCTTTCTGAAAGGTGGAGTTTTACTGGGATACAAGAGGTTCTGATGGCGTTAAAAGGAGCCTCGAGGATTGAGTACCGTGCAGCGGACGAGAGATGACTTATGCAATGACGGATTTTATGATTACGATTTTCTAAAGATATCTGGGAATGGGATTGTTGGTTTCAAACGGGACTTGGTAGAGCAGGGACAACGAAGGCAAGGGGAGAGAGTTATGTATACAGTTTACCATATACATACACGATCAGCTCCTAGGCTGACGAGGTATTAGATAGAGGATAAAGAGGCCCAAGGCCACGAGGTATAATACACGAAAGGGGGATTTTTAATTAGAAATTTATTTTGTTACCAACTGTTCTTCCAAGAATTCCACAAACAATTAATCGTCCCGCGAACTATACACTGCATCTATTCCGCGAGGGTATTCGACAACACGGAGCCAGACGAGAGCCTCCAACCATGATCTGTCACAGAACAGACGGAATTGAACCATTGATTAATCGATAGACGTACAATGACATTCGCTCCCGACTCGGCAGGCAACAAACGACTTTTTTCCCCTTGGGAATTGCTTGCTGTCCTGTCCTGTATAATTCTATTCTGCTCTGTCTATCAACCTACGTACCTACCTAAAGCAGTTCCGAAACGCATCACGATGATTCCCGCTCCGCTCATCATTGTAGAGTTCCACCGCATGCAAATATACATCATCAATGCATCATATGAATATCGCGTCAACTTTGGCGGTATCGTGCATGATGCAACAAATATGCACGAGTCAACGTGTGAGGAACAAAGAAATAATTGGTTTGGTTTCCCCCTCGTGGTTCTATGGTGTGCATTCGGTTCAAGAAAATCAAGCGAATGAGTTCATAGACTTGATTTTTTGGAAACACTGATATACTGTACAACTGGTACACGACTGAATAGCACGTAGGCTTGAGGCTACACGAGGAAATTGCATCATATTTCTTGTGTCTTTTTTTTTTGGAAGCACGCTATGCGGCGAAAAAATCATTTTGGTTTGTGTGATGTTTGGTATGTACGTAACATTTGCTTTGTGTTACAAACGAGGGGGGAGTGGAGGGGAGATATTTATGATATCCAATAAATTTTCAATGCCGATCAATGCTGCCATGATGTATGTCGAGACTGTAGGCCATAGTTGTACATCTAATTTATCGTTCAACATTGACACATTCTTACTCGTGTTCATGAATCCTCAAGAATCTTTTCACTTGTGCCCTAGTCTCATCTAGACTTTAGATTGTATGTTTCCTCTTGCTCGCTTGTGATCAGTCCCGGACTTCCCACCATGGCGTCCTCGCCTTTATTTCCTTTCGGGAAGAATATGACATCCCTGACACTCTCTCTTCCTGTCAGTACTGCGACCCATCTATCGAAGCCAATGGCAAATCCCGCGTGAGGTGGACAGCCAGCTCTTAATGCTTCAAACAAATGATTAAAATCTGACATTCTCTCGTCGCTCATCTTCAACACATTTTTCATAATGAACTTTTGTACCTCGGCTGAATGGACACGTTTCGAGCCACCGCCGAGTTCGACGCCGTTGAGTACAAGATCATAGTGATCTGCGGTGACTGCGAGAGGGTCAGTGAATAGGAGGTCGATATCATCAGCGGTTTTAGGGGCAGTAAATGGGTGGTGAGTAGAAGAGAACCCTGATGTGCCACCTTGACCAGGATCGGCTGGGTTGGCAGTATTGAGGGTAAAGAGCGGAAAGTCTGTGACCCAGAGATAATGAAACCCTGGAGTAGGAGCAAGAAGTTGTTCGGAAATTGCGGCTCTGTAGAGTGCTAGCCGGAGTTTACCTAGAGTAGTGGAACCGCCGGAATGGGGAGTATTTGGTCGCGCTTGAAGGATGAGTAGATCTCCTTCATCAAATGTGGTTGTTGCATTAGGCCCTCGTGGATCATCATTATTGTGCGAAGAAGCTGGAAGAGAAGAGTAGAGCTGTTTCAATGCCTCGGCACCTTCAAATCCAAATGCTTGTAGGCCTTCTAATGGCCTTCTAGGATCGAATACAAATATTCCAGGAGGACCATCAGGATTTTTCTGGAATTGTTCGGCACCTGCAGAATCCATAAACTTGCGGATGAACTGTTGTACCTTTCTAGAATTGCCATCAAGTCGGAACTTGAAAGCTTCGATTATAGGGTTTTCAATCGAAGTCATCATTCCCTTGAGATTTTCTGGAATAATAGCATCCACTCGATGAATCTATTACCATTAGCTTTGCTTTAGGGATGGTGACAGAATAAATTACCAAGTCCAAAATCCTGAGATCGGGTTTGTCAGACCCATGCTTCGACATCGCTTCCTCATATGTCATCCTTGGAAACTCTGTTTTTGGCAATTCAATGTTGTTGGCGACTTCAAGCTGTTCAGGTTGAATCTGCCTATGTATGCCCTTTACAAGTTCTTCAACTGTCTGCATGACATATTGGCCATCCGCCCATGACATTTCCATGTCAATCTATTTGGCATTAGCACTTGTAAACTGTATCAATTCAAAATACAGTACCTGAGTAAATTCTGGCTGCCTATCCGCACGAAGATCTTCATCCCGAAAGCATTTAGCAAATTGGAAATATTTGGCGACGCCGCTTGCCATCAAGATTTGTTTGTACTGTTGAGGGCTTTGTGGCAGAGCGTATGCATAGCCCGGTTTTCTAGTAGGGACAAGGAATTCTCTGGCACCTTCAGGCGTTGATTTGAATAAGATGGGAGTCTCAATCTCATCAAAGCTCACAGAATATAGATATTTTCTCACTAATTTAGCTAGCTTTGACCGAAACATTAATCTTTCATAAAGATCTGGCTCGAATCGAATTTCAAGATGCCTGGAATCAGGCCCAAATTTCTGAGCAGGTCCAACAACGATGTCTCTAGGGAATGAATTGATTGCTCTCACATCTTCGGCATGGATGTCAAAATTTGAAAGTAATTGAGACAGTTTCAAAGGAATCGATTCGGAAGCTCCCTCAGTAGCCAGTGAGTCGGGCACAATTTCTGCCGTTTGGTCTGGCTTCTTTATTCTGGACTGTAAAATTCCAGTCACAGATACAGCGCTGTGCTCCCTGATGTCTTTAAAACTTTTGAAGGCATCTCTAATCTTCCCCTCTTCGGGGCTATCTTTTAATACAACCTGAATTCCTGGGTTTGCTGAAGACCCTCTACTTATTGTAGCAAAAATAAGTCCCTTACCCAGCTGCTTCTTATTGCGCAGGAAACCAGTAACAGTGACCCTTTTGCCAATATTCAATGGTTGCAATTGTTCCCATGGATGTAATGGATCGAGATTGGACTTTGGCAGAGCGACTTTATAGAGGGCATCAGCAATATACAAAATATTACAATATCAATGCTTACTGCTATCCTTGTATTCATTCCAAGGCGTGCCACTTGTGTCAAAGTTAACTTGTTCTTCTGCTCCATTCAAACGAGAGCTGGTATTGGTGAAACTTCTCTGATGAACAGCAAGCAATGAGGGGGAGCCGTTTGTGCGAGTCCATGGTGCAGTCTTACGCGCACATAAGATCACATTTCTTAGTAAGTGCCTGCGACAGCACAATACTAAGGTCATGACTTGAAATCTGTTTCTTTTTTGTAGAAGTTCATGAATTATTCGATTTATATGATTTATACAAGAGCACTGTACAATAAGTATATGAAGATGTCGAAGCTCTCTAGGTGTGGTTAGCGTCTCGGCAAATTCCGCTTTCAAGAATTTTTATATTATGTCGCGAACTTTTTCAGATTCTCTTTCCCTCTTCATCCTTCCAAGTTTTAAACATGTAAGACCCCAACATTGACAATTCCAATCCATGCGCAATTGCTAACGTATGTTTGACAGATGATGAAAAGCCAGCGTGTATTATTTGAGTACGATTCCTCCTTTTCGAGCCTGCAAACTCTCCCTTCACCGGGCTTCAGTGGTCTGCTTGCGAGAACTGGATGGAAGAGTGAAATAAGCGTTCGACACACTCTCCTTGTTTTAACGGACGCGATAAAGGCATCTCTGACCCCTAAATCTTGGAAGGCTTCATTTTGGATAACTATTATATAATGAAGAAGGCGATGGAGTGAATCATTTCAATGGTCATCCTCTGGAGCTCGACTATTATTCTTCAGGTCAAAGACATCCGTGCTAATATAGACTTCATTTCTTCTCATTTTCATAGTTTGTTTATTTTGTTAATGTATTGGCGATATCAAGAACAAAAAAGCAACCGTTTCAGCATGGAAACCAGGAACCATTTCTGAAGCAAACTGTTCTTTTTTTTTTAGAGCGGGGAAGAAGGGTTTGTGTTCTGAAGTAAGTACTCTATTGGGGGGGTCTTGATCTCAGTGTCATACTCGAGCATAATTTCTTTTTATTGATTCACTTTTTCGACTTACATACATAGCTGAAAGATCAATCAATTTACAAGTTACCTTGAATTTTATACATGAGAGATGATGATGTGATATCCATAAACTTCTTGTGCGTGTTGAAATACTGGAGAATATCCCGATCCAGTTGTGGCTGATGACTATTCGCCAATCTAGATATCGATATCCTTGGGAAATTCATGGTACCTACTTGGAAGTTGCATTTGATCCGAGCAGACAGGAGGACCCAGTGAGCTTTGGTGACAGCACATGTATGAAGAAATGGTTGGTTGGAAAAAGGAAAATGGGCGTATGCGAGACGATCAGGTACCTACCTACCTAGGTGTGAAGGAGTCTCTAGATACAATTCTAATTCGTAAAATTAATATATGAAGGTTTTCTCTCCTACTTTGCAGTCTCTTGTTTAGACTCTTAGGAGGTTATCACGGACCATATCTATCTCAATATAAAACTGACTGATCAAGGTATGATATCTTCATATCTACCGGTACTACAGTACTACTCTGTACTCACCTAGTCAGTCAGATATGTACTGATACCCATAGAAGG